CCCCCCCCCACAAAACTAACAAATAAAACCCACCAACATAAGTAGACGTTTGGGACAAGAAGCGACTCATGCCCCTTGGCGTGGATTACAGAACAAGCTGCACCCAATTCCGCATCACGTTAAAACAAGTTACACACGAAATACTACTCGCTGTTTAGAAGAGTTATTATAATTATTGTTATAAATCGCTACCTCAAATTACTTAGAAGTACAGAGTTCAATCTGACATTTATGGCTGTTTTGATTAACTAAGATCATGAGGTCAGAAACCAAATGTTCTATCTGCTCTATCAAAAATCGCAAGATTATTCGGAATTGTTCCCAAGATATTCAAAGAATTGCATTTGTAAAAGCTTGACATGTTGTGAAAGTAAAAACTTTTGTTGTCAAATTTCTAAAACCTTGGTGCTGAGCTTATAGAACGTTTTACTTTTAGCGTACTATTGTGAATTATTGCTGTTGTTGCTGGTTTGTTTTCTGGAGTTTTTTTGGGGGGTAGGGGGGTGTTGTTCTGTTGGGGATAACTTGTTACCATTGTAGTTGTTTTGTTGTTGGAGCTTGATCAACACACCCATAGCTTGACACACAATTTAACAACAGTTAAAGACAACAAGATGGACTTACAACAACAGGGGTGGAAGCAGGTCCCATGTAGAACATTGATGGTCCAGCTCCCGTTTCGCTGCTCAGCAGAAGTCCTCATAAACTCAGTTCTGTACCCGCAATGCGAATCTTTGTAAATCCACTCTTTGATAGCCCAGGGATGCAGCTGTATCCATCCTCTTCTTGAAGTCTGCTATTCCAAATTGATATCTCACACGTAAAGCGATGCACTTACAAAAACCAGGAGTTGCACCACACACGTTATAAATGGTACCTGGTGTGACTCATTCTGCACTTGTATAGTTTGTTCCTCCAACTGTTGCCTAACTTTCATTTCCCACTCTATAGTCAGATCAGCTCACGATGGATCATCGTTATCAAGTGCCAGATCTGCGACTGACTTCGGCGATCACGATTCTCCTTTCATTCTTTTCCGCGGATGCTCTAAAAAAGCGACATTATCCTGATCCTTCCCCGCCACTCATCTGTTTAGGCTCTCCAAGTAGGTTGCTCTGGGTTTACCCCTGCCTCGTTTGCCTCGATACCACTTGACAACCAACGCCAACACTGTCACTGTAGATACACCTCTCATTTACACTAAACGGCAAGAGTGCCCTGGCTTGCAATATCATATTATTATACACTGTACTCATCCACATTGTGGAAAACTGTATAGCTGCCTCTAGGATCTACAACGGACTGCACGGTTAGTGTCACCACCGGACTGACGGTCATCGAGAACGAAGAAGAAGAAGAAGAAGAAGAAGAAGAAGAAGAAGAAGAAGAAGAAGAAGAAGAAGAAGAAGAAGAAGAAGAAGAAGAAGCAA